TTTTTTTTTAGCTTTTTCATTATGTAAAATGAGTGTGACTTCTTTTTATAGTGTGGATCATAAAGGCAAGATCAGGATTACAACAGGACCACAGAAATGTAAGACACACACACACAGCTTAATTGTTTTGTTATGATATAAATGTGATAATTTCTCTTCTTGTGTTCAGATGCATGTGATCTCACACTGGATTCAAACACAGCACACACTCGTCTCTCTATGTCTGAGGGGAACAGAAAGGTGACACATTTGAGAGGGAAGCAGCCGTATCCTGATCATCCAGAGAGATTTGATGAATACCGTCAGGTTCTGTGTGAAGAGAGTCTGACTGGACGCTGTTACTGGGAGGCTGAATGGAGCGGATATAGGGCTGATATATCTGTGACGTATAAAGGAATCAGCAGGAAAGGAAAAAGTAATGACTGTTTGTTTGGATGCAATGAAAAGTCCTGGAGTTTGACCTGGTTTAATGACAGATTCTCTGTCAGTTACAATAATAAGAGCACATTCACATATGCCCCTTCACGTCACTCTAACAGAGTAGGAGTGTATCTGGACTGGTCGGCCGGCACTCTGTCCTTCTACAGCGTCTCTGACACACACACACTCACACACTTACACACATTCAACACCACATTCACTGAACCCCTCTATGCTGGATTTAGATTTTATTGTTCTGGTAGTTCAGTGTCTCTGTGTGAGATTAAACATCTTCCTGTGAGAAACAACTGAGACGCACAGTCAAGTGAACGAAACTTCTAATCTTAATTTCAGTGTGTATATATATACACACACACACACATGTTGACTTTGGTCTAAATGATACACAACACAGACTTCTGTTGTGTTTTTATAAAAATATTTAAATGCAGCTAAACAGGATTTTTCTGTTTCTGAATCTCTGAGCGCCACCTGGAGGAAGATTTAGTTTCTCGCGCACAGGAAACAGTTCTTAGCAATCACTTGCTCTGTTACTTAGTTATATAGTTATTTTAAATAAAATTTCACAAGGCTTCTGCTTTATTGTATTTTTCGTTACATCGTTGCGCCAGTGGGTGGCGACAATTGACCACTTTGTCATAAAGTGAATCATCGAATCATTCATTCAACCACATTGATTCATTGAACAATCACACACCACAACTCTCTGGTTCTGGGAGACTTTCAGACTTGACAGGAACATACAGCTTGTGAGGGACATTATACAATTTTAAGAAACTATCTTAGGACTTCATCCTCACCTGTCACTTCATTCATATCACTAAACTGCAGAGCTTGTTGACTCACTGGCCATGCGACGCTGTCGAAAGTGAAACAGTTTCAACAGACGGGAAGGAAGAACAGCGTGATAAAAAAAAAAGCTGTTTGTGAATCATTGAATCTAAAAACAGAAATCATAAACCGAATGAAACTTTTGTTCGATGTTCTTCATTGTCGAGACAAAGGTAGGTTTGAACAAACATTTCTGGATTAATTTCCATGAATAAATCAATAAATGTGAATCTGCATGTGTAAATACTTTTATTTCTGTCCTACTGTAATTTAAGAGTATTTTCAGATGGTTAAATAGTCTCTACTGAGAGTTTTTCTTATTCATATTGATTCTTCGAGTTTTTTCTGGACGTATTGAACTGGAAATTGAGCTTTTGACTGGTGTTTCATCCACAGTTTTTTATATGCTGTAACATTGTGTGGCAGAGATTTAATTACTTCTCTTGTATATCTAAAGAAGTAAATTTGGTTGCATATTTGTGTCTTTTTCTACAGCACTGCCTGTAAAATGAGTCTCTATGAGAAGAGAGAGGAGGAGGATGTTCAGACACATAAAGCAGCATCTCCAGAACCCAGCTGTGTGTCTGTGAAGAGTGACAAGTCCATGGGAGTCCCTCCTCTTCTCAGTGATGGAGCAGAGTGAGTATAAACATTTAACTCATGTGGTGAAACATAATCAGGCATTTTCAAAATATTTCAGACAAGCCGGATACATCTTGGTAGTGATAAAAAATGACAGATAAAATTCTGTCTGGCTTTATATATATATATATATATATATATAGTCATGTGAAAAAGTTAGGACACCCTATTAAATGCCATGGTTTTCTGTATCAGGGCATAATAAAAAATTATTAAAATAAAAAAATTAAAAAAACATATGACATATAAAACCAAAAGACATATCACACCGTGTCATTATTTATTTAACAAAAATAAAGCCAAGATGGGAAAGCCTTGTGTGACGAGGTTAGGACACCCTATGATTCAATTGCCTGTAGATCAACTTTTAGCAGCAATAACTTGAAGTAATAATTTTCTGTATGACTTTATCAGTCTCTCACATCGCTCTGGAGGAATTTCGGCCTCTTTACAACGTTGCTCCAGTTTATTGAGGTTTGTGGCCATTTGTTTATGCACAGCTCTCACCACTGCATTTCAGTCAGGATGAGGTCTAGACTTTGACTGGGCTGTTGCAACCCCTTGATTCTTTTCTTTTCAGCCGTTCTGTTGTAGATTTGCTGGTGTGCTTGGGATCATTGTCCAAGATTTAGCTGTCGAATGGATGGCCTCACATTTGACTCCAGAATACTTTGTTATACAGAGGAGTTCATGGTTGCCTCAATGAATGTGAGGTGCCTTTCAAACATGCCATACTTGTCCCATATTTTTCTAATTGTACTGTCATGAACTTTATCATTTAACATGTTAACTGAGGCCTGTAGAGTATTTATATAAAAGTATTTTGTGATTTATCCAAAACTAAATTATCTGGGCTCAGCTGGTAAATCTCTTCTGACATTACATATTAATGTACAAGTGGTACATACTATAGTACTTGTATTATCATTGCTCTTTTGTTGATTTTGATTGCTTCCATTGTCCTCATTTGTAAGTCGCTTTGGATAAAAGTGTCTGCTAAATGTCTAAATGTAAATGTAAATATTAGGAATGTACCGATACCACTTTCTCCAGAACGAGTCCGATACCGATAATTTTATTTTTTTGTACTTGCCGATAGCGATACCCAGAGCCGTCGGAAGGGTTATGCCAAGTGTGCGACCACACAGAGCCTCGCGCTTCTACAGGGCCTCATGGCAAAATGAAGTGACAGCTGACTTGATGATGTAAAGCCAACAGGTTTAAAGGTCATGCCTTGGTCCTTTGAAAGACTATAATAGCTAAAAGTTAGCGTGTGTGAGCGTCAGTGAGCATGTCAAGTTCTTAGAGAGCTTTATAAGTGCATTTTTAATTCTGATTTTGGCCGCCTTTGAAATGGGTCAAACAATAGATATTACCTTTTAAGTTGAAGAAAATAAGTTAGAAATTTGTGTAAATCTGAAATGGATGTGCACCGTTCAGTTGAATTAAAAGGTTTACCCTCGGTTTATCTGTCTATTTGTTGTGCGTGCGTTCGTTATTATAGCCATACCGCCTCCCCGCAGAGGGCCTCACACCTCAACTGCATGATGGCATTTATAGCGTATGGAATAAGGGCCGCTACAGCAGTGCTAATGAGACATGCTGTGGGTGAGTTGCACATTTTAAGCAGTTTTTCAGGTTCAGTTCAAGCAGAATTATCAGTTAAAAGTGTTCGAAACACACAAATAACTATTTTATTGTGGATTTATCCTGTGGTGAATTTGTTGGGCAACTGTTAATATGTGTCTGGCGTTGAATGTGTTGTTTTACGTTGAGTTATTTTGACATTCTAAGGTAAACATCTTTAAATGTCTGCCGGTTTCTGCCTCCTTCTTCCCGGAACTACGAACTTTGTCACAATTACATATTCAGTGATTATAGCGTGATAGAATATTGCTCAGATACTGAGGTGTTGGAGCAGTCAGGCTTTATAGATTGCATTAAGTGCCCTCCTACTTTTTCAGCGGCGTTGGTTCTGGAAGTACTTTTTTCCATTAATTTCTCCCATACAAGGTAAATTACAACATTATTTGAAACAAACTTTTATTTGAAGCATAAAAACATTTGAAAACCTGATGACCTTTTCACAGAAGTGGGTGGAGCTAAAGAGCTCTTTTGGTGCAATTTAATTTTTCACCTCGAATTCCACTGTTAAATATTATTATCTTTAAAATAAGTTGACTTAATGCAGGCTGGTGGCTTCAACAAAAGAATATACTATTGATTAAGTACTGGTTATTTGTAATTTTATGTTTGTGAATTGTCTTTCACCAAACAGAGTGTGACATTAGTGAGATTAACATTCATTTAGAAACAGAAATTAAAAAAAGCAGTGATATTTTAATGTTTCTCTTTTTTGATTATTCCTCCTCTACTCTTTCATGGTTTTCTACAGCATGGCCTGTAAAATAAGTCTCTGTGAGATGAAAGAGGAGGATTTTCACACACATAAAGCAGCATCTCCAGAACCCAGCTGTGTGTCTGTGAAGAGTGACAAGTCCATGGGAATCCCTCCTCTTCTCATTGATGGAGCAGTGACCTCTGACCCTGAGTGAGTATAAAAACTGATAAACAAAGATGTTGACCTAGGAACACGTTCTACTTAGGTAAACCATGTCCCGCAGATGTCTGCAGTGCATCATAAATGATAAAGGTGTTGTTTAAACTAATAAGAACTGTAATGATTAATTTAGTTTTTGAAGTCAGTCCTACATTTTCTAAAGAGATGTAGTGGTCAGTGTAAGCGGTAGTTTGTCAGCCGTAATTCTGCAACTTACAAATCTGAACCCGTGGATGAAGCTGAAACAGGTTCTAGTGACTCTAGGATGATGAAATAATGTGGGGGAAAAAAAAGAATATTGTTATAATAATGAAATAATGTTCCGCAATAATGTGTCAGTGTAAAGTGCATCATTCAACTACAGCATGTAGTAAGTTTGCACAATATACCAGTACTATGGTACTATCATCATGCCCAAGCCTGAAAACATTGGCACCTCTCATATTAAGTTTGAAGGACTTTGGAGAGGTTTGGAATAATTTCAAAAGCTTACATTTGTTATTGAAGACATTATTTAAATACATATCTAAATTATGCCTCGAAATTCAAGTTTTGGATTTAAAAAGCCTCCCTTTAATTTTTGATTAAACTGCTTTGCAATTCATTCAGAACTGTTATATATATATATATTTAACATTCTAAAATAATTGCTGTCTTCACTGTAGCATGCACACACACACACACACACACACACACACAAACAGCCACATTCCAGAGCACAGAAACTTGTTTTCAGTGCTTCAGTTTTTATGTTCTTATGCATTTCACAGTTTTCCCTGTTCATCTCAATGTTTCTACAGAGTGAGAAGAGACAATGTGAGCAGACCAGTGACACCCCGTCTGTCTCGCTTTATCTGCTATCAGAATCTCTTCAGGAAGAACAACAAAAAAACAGCCCTGCAGACAAACACACAGGAGACACAAATGCAGCACATTTCTCTCCAACCAGTGCGTGATGGACTACAGAGAGTCAAAGACCAGCACAAAACCAGCATGAAGAAGAGGTATGAGAGGTTATTTGAGGGAAGCAAACTAGAAGAGATTCAAACCCTCCTGAACACGATCTACACACAGCTCTACATCATAGAGGGAGAGAGTGAAGGAGTGAATGAACAACATGAGGTTTTACAGATGGAGAAAACACCCAGAACACAAGACACTCCAATCTACTGCAATGACATCTTTAAACCCTTACATGAACCAGGATGTGAGGAGAAAGATGAAATCAAGACTGTTCTTACTAAAGGCATCGCTGGAATTGGAAAAACTGTCTCTGTGCAGAAGTTCGTTCTGGACTGGACCGAGGGAAAAGCCAATCAGGATGTAGATTTCATGTTTGTGCTTCCATTTCGAGAGCTGAACTTGATTAAAGATCACCAGTACAGTCTTCACAGACTTCTGCTGGACTTTCATCCTGAACTTCAAGATCTGGACTCAAAGATGTATGATGAGAGAGATCCAGAGAAACTCCTGAAGTCCAACAGAGACATGATTGTGAAACTTGCTGAACTGGCTTTCAAACAGCTGATGAAGGGCAATGTGATGTTCTATGAGGAGGACCTGATTGAGAGCGGCATAGACGTCACTGATGCTTCAGTGTATTCTGGGATTTGCACTGAGATCTTTAAGCAGGAATCTGTGATTCATCAGAGGAAAGTTCACTGCTTCATACATCTGAGCTTTCAGGAGTTTCTAGCTGCTTTCTTTGTGTTTTACTCCCATGTAGACAAGAATGAGGAATCACTGAAGCCATTATTGAATAAAAGATATCGCTGGTACAGTCGGACAAACTCTCTGTATGAGCTACTAGAAGCAGCAGTCGATAATTCCTTACAGAGTAAAAATGGACACCTGGATCTTTTCCTGTGGTTCCTGCTGGGCTTCTCACTGGAGTCCAATCATAGACTTACAGGATCTACTGACACACACAGTGAACCGCTCAGAGACCATCAAGAAAATCACACAGTACATTAAAGACAAAATCAAGGGTAATGAATGTCTCTCAGCTGACAGATGCAATAATCTGTTCCTCTGTCTGCTGGAAATGAAGGATCAGACTCTGTACAGAGAGATTCAGGAGTTTGTGAAATCAGAGAAACTCTTGATGAATAAACTCTCTCCGTCTCACTGCTCAACAATCACCTACATGCTTCAGATATCAGAGGAGGTGCTGGATGAGTTTGATCTGAAGAAATACAACACATCAGATGAGGGTAGAAGGAGACTGATACCAGCTGTGGTGAACTGCAGAAAAGCTCTGTGAGTATCAATTCATGTTATTAAAGATGAAACTGAATGTATGTCTTGTTCAGACACAGCAACATTCTAATTCCTCCATCAAATCACGACTCCATTCAGCCATTTCAACTAATATGTAATCAAGGTTTTTTTGTACAAAAGAAAGTCATTTAGTTTTTTGTTTTGACTCTTTTTGAACCTCTTCTGACCCTTAAAATGAATGTTTATCTTTTGAAATTTCACATTGTGTTGTTAGTTGTATACAGCTTGGAGTAACAGTAATAGCCAAAATTCTTTTGGATTTTATCTGTCCTACTTTCTCTTTATTACTTTACTGTGACTCTGAAGCCATGTGTTTTTGAACACTGAATGTGTTGCTAAGATAAACACATTTCATCCTGTGTTGTAGACTTGCTGACTGTAATCTCACTGATCAGTGCTGTGAAAGTTTGTCTTCATCTCTACAATCATCAAACTCACTGAGAGAGCTGGACCTGAGTCACAATAACCTACAGGATTCAGGAGTGAAGCTTCTCTCTGATGGACTGAAGAGTTCACACTGTCAACTCAACAAACTGAGGTAAGAAAACTAAAGGTTCTCTTGGTTGTGAAATTAAAGATGTCCTCTGCTCTGTCCTGATCTCTTGGGGGTTTGTAATATATCAACAGACCCCAATGTG